CACACCTTGTGGTGAGCTTGAGATATTTTTTAACTTGCGGTGGAGAAGCAAATCCACCATATATGATATGGCTGATATTCATTCAAACAAATATGTTATTAATTCTATCAGACTAAGCTCATGCCAGTCCAAAAAATAATCTTAAACACCGTATAAATACAGCATGAACCTAAGGCCAAAAGTAAGTTACATGGGGAAACCTCTTCAAAATTTCTTTTCCTTTTGTCATCCTTGCAAACTGCCACAATCACATCCTTGGAGCTGCATCAACCATAATAAAAATGTCAAATATTATTGTACAAAAAATATAAATAGCTGCACACAAAAAATATAAAAAGACTGAGCAGCAACTCAAACAGAAACAGAAATATAGAAAATGTAATGTAACAGCCCAGATCCACTACTAGTAGGATATTGTCCTCTTTAGTCCTCTTTGGGTTTCCCTTTCGAACTTCCCCTCAAGGCTTTAAAACGCATCTTTCAGAGTTACACAGCAGAACCCGTGCTCATCCAGATATTGTCCTCTTTAGGCTTTCCCATCCGGGCTTCACCTCAAGGTTTTTGGGTTTTCCCTTATGGGCTTCCAAATTAGGCATCTACCAAGAGAAGGTTTCCACACCCTTATAAAGGGTGTTTTGTTCTCCTCCCTAACAGATGTGGGACATCACAGAAAGAAAGACCCATTCATTATCACCTCCATGTTAGAAATAAGATAGATCAAAGGACCATATGAATTCAATCGTTGGGTCGAATGACCGAACAAGAACTTGAATAATCCTTCCATCATTCTATATGCACTTGTGCACAAATAAGAAACCAAGTACATTAACATTTATTATATGGGTTAGACATGTTTAGCCTACCTCCTCCCATTGTTGCTTCAGGCAACCGCTCAATTGAATACTGATGTCGGGTTATGTACATGATTGGTACACCAGGAATCTGCAATAAAATAAACAAGTTACTGCATCTAACTATATTGCAAACTATTATGGTCGGATTATATCTTTTCATTATACCTTACGAATCCTACGCTTCAAATCTCTGTCACAAGTGGCAACGATATAACACTTATGCTGCACATAAACAAACCTTCTGTTAAAAAGATACCAAAACAGTGAGAGAAGTATTTTAGCTCACTATCAACACTTCAATTTCAAAACAATAACTCATCCCTTTTAGGTGCCTGATTCTTCCTTGGCTTTTTTGTACCCTTTAATCTGATAACTTAATACAGTGTTGGTTATCTTTTTTTAAGAAATGTTGACTAGCTTACAAATATAATAACCATATTATAAGTCTGTGCCTAAATATGTGCTACTTACTTTATGAAGATAAACTTATTGAAGAGAGCTACGATTTAAACTGGTTTTCTATGTATTACATGTATAACACTGAACAAACATGAAATCGGAAAACTCATCGTTTATGAACACGATCATGTGCAAAAAGCTTTCAGTCTCACCTGAGTCACCCTTTCGACAAGGCAATCATCAGCATAGGTTCCTTTATGAGTACAGGGTAGTCTCTCAAATCGTGGGTCCTTAGCTATTCTGCTCGAGCCCAAAAATACTAATCAGTACCAACAAGAGAGATGCAAAAGAAGGAAACAAGCATTGATCTTTAAGAAAAATACATTTACAAAAGTACCAAGAAAGAGAACACCAAAGACGAACCAAGAATATAATATTGTTTCCAAAGAATCCTATCGCCATGAAAGTATATGAAAACCTTATTTTATTTCTTTCCATTCATAATGTGCAAAATTAAGCTTTTACCGTGTTTGTCCAAAGATTTTGGCTTTACTTCCAAAAATGTTGTTGAGGGAGGAGCTGTTTATTTCAGATTCTTGCTCAAATCAAGGGTAAAGCTAAGACCTTTTCTAAAAGACAAATAAAGATAAGACTGCTTGGATTAACATTGAACCAGAAATTTCTTGAGAAACTGTCAAGGAGAGTAATAAAAAAAGAAAGTTGCTTCTTACAGGTAGCCAATCATAACACTAAATTTTTCATAGATTTTTTTTTTTTTTTTTTCATGATCTTCAATCAACAATTTGATTAGTGCTGGCATTCGAAATTATAAAAAGTTAAAGACCAGATGCGCACACAATATCAACTAACTCTAGCCAATCTCAAAAAGCATCTGAATGTGAACATACATGTGTATAGTACCCAAAAATGAGAACATAGAAAATTCATCTTCTGAAATATCACAAATTAAACATGAATTTACCTAACAGCAACGCGATACTTGAGAACATAGAAAATTCATCTTCTGAAATATTACAAATTAAACATGAATTTACCTAAGAGCAACGCGATACTTCTGACCTAATCGCTCAAGTTCAGCCATCACGCAATCTGTTATACAAGGGGTGCCTATAACACGATCACAAGTAAGCACAAATGTCAGCTGATTATCACTTCTCATATTTCAAATTATAATAAAAAAATTCTGTAAGTGCAACTTACATTTTGCATACAGACAATCCATCATTCCCTTCTCCAAGTCCAACTGCACCAGAAAGAAAAGAAGAAGAAAACCACTTCAATTCAATTCAATTCAAACAATCCACAAGTTATATCCATAATAAAATGAGCTTTACATATCGAAATCAGACAGTTATAAAAATTTGAAGCACTCACTTTGTTTTGAATGGAGAAATTGATGAAATTTGTATCCACCAAAACCCGATAAGGAGGCCCCAATGCAGTGTTGTATTTGAAGAAAAGTGCTGAAGGAACATTTGGACTGAATTAACAACAATGCGAGCATGAATTAGTCATAGACAACGAGTAGAAAAAATTATTAATACAGAGCACATAACAGTGAAGGAACATTTGGACTGAATTAATAACAATGCAAGCATGAATTAGTGATAGACACCGAGAAGAAAAAATTATTAATACAGAGCACATAACAGTGAAGGAACATTTGGACTGAATTAATAACAATGCAAGCATGAATTAGTAATAGACATCGAGTAGAAAAAATCAATAATACAGAGCACATAACAGTCAGCTCAAAAGGTTCCTTACATGTTTCTCGGGAGATTTTCTTTAGTAAGATCTTTCCTTTTTGGATTCAAGACCTCTTCCTTGTAGCTAAAAACAAAAAAGAAGAGAAAAATAAAAGATTGAAAGAAAATAGGATAAAGTTATCAATTCAAAAGAAAAAATAGAAGGCATACTTTTTAATCGCTTTAGAAGAGATCATCTTCTTCACGACTGCAAATTTGGGTCCTTTCTTGGCCCTCCCCATCTCGATGTATTTTGAATGGATTAATCTGAGGAGGAGTTCAATTCAATTAAACTCATTGTCTTCTCCCCAACTATAATCTATGAATATACAAATATGATTACAAGAGAATTGGATAATAGGATAGATTACTCCCACTAATTATCTAATAAACATAAAAGGGAGATTTTAGAAAATTCATGGTCTCAGAACAACTCTGTTTCCAGAAGAAACCAAAGAGATACAAAGATGATCGAAGTTTATTCACAGACATGCAACAAATCAACAGTAAGTCCCAATTTAATTTGCCGCAAGCTTCTTTCTTCTTTTTAATATTAGGGTATTGTCATTTAAAAAATATATATAAAAACAATTAAGAGGAGATTTGGAGAATACCAATAACAACGATATAGTTGAAAATCAGTACAAGCCCGCTGGAGAGAGGCTGCGGCAGAAGGGAAGACGATGGCGATGGCGATGGCGATGGCGACGGCGACGGCGGCGGTGGCGACAGGAAAGGGAGAATAAGTGGAAACCGCTGGTAGAGAGGCTGCGGCAGCAGGGAAGACGACGGCGGCTGCAACAACCGGAGAGAGGCGGCGGCGACACGAGAGGGAGAATGAGAGGGAGTGGTGAAGAACAAGGGCGCGCAGAGTGAAGACGATGGGTTTAGGTTATGCCTCCTCCTTATATATTTATTATTTTACAGCTTTTTTTTTTCCTTTTATTTAGTTATATCTTTATTTATTTGATGAGATTTCAAATTTTAAAATTCAAAATATTATCATTCACATTTAAAAATTAATTAACCTTAATTTTCTTATATCTATATATTTAAAAATTTATATCTCTCAAACGAGCCGTATAAAGTTAATTAATTTAATTAATTAATGTTCCTTAATCATTTTAATATATTTAATTAATAACTAATTATGAATATAAATATATCATTATATTTAGAAAATTTTTAAAATATTAATATTCTACCATTAATTTTTAAAAATTTATATTTATTTTCTCACATTTATTAAGAACAAATTTAACTCTTAATTAAATTTCAAAAACAATAAATAAATTTTAATTGTGACACCATTTTTTTTATAAAAATATAAATCAATTCATAAAGCAATACATAAAAAAAAATCTATAAATAATACTTTTGTGTTGTTTTTTATATCAATGGATCTCCCGTATACCGTAACTAATGAGCCAGAGTATTCGTAGATTAGGTTAGTCACATGAATCTCTCATATACTGTAACTAATGAGCCAGACTCGAATATTCGTAGATTAGGTTGAATTGGGTTCGGACATTTTTTAGTTGAGTTGGCTCACGTTATTTGAATGATTTATATTCATCTTTTTTAAATAAAATTAAAATGTTAATCCGTAAAACGTGTATTAAAATAAGGTTTTTATTTATTTAAACAAAATTCAACTCAGATAAATTAATCACACAACTGAGTAAATAATGAGTATATCAGAAACATTTAATTCATTCAAGAAATCTCTAAATATTAGCATAAAAATGAAAAGGCTCCTAAGTCGAAAGATATGCATTAGAAATCAAATAATGTTTTAGTTTTTGAGGATGTGAGAGGGAGGAGGAAGAAACGCCGTCGAAATAGAAGCTCCAACCACCGTCTTGTTCATAGCCAAGGACGCCGGCGATGCTTTGGGTTCGTCCACCGACTGCTCACCCTTTTCATCTTCAACTGTTCGGCTAAGCGGCAGCGTAGTCAACATTTTAACGGAAAAAGCGATTCAAAACCCAAATATATTAACCAAAAGTTAGATGAACAAGAACTTATACTTCTTCCCACGCTTTTTTACGATCTTCTACACAAAAGTTACTCTATTTCGAAAAGGAAAACTATAATCACGAGAAACAAGAGCGAACTATTTATTCGAACGACGAACGGCTCTACTTCGATTCATAAACGCCCACAAACGGCACTAGAACCGACCCAAACCACAGCTTCCCATCCTTCTCTTCCACTTCACTAATGAACTTCAAAGTTTTCCCTTCACAATCTTCCAATATCTCCAAAACCTTTCCTTCCTCACTCAACCTAACAGCAGTGGCATGAGCCTTCCCTCCCACCACCAACGCATGCAATTGCTTGAAGTCTAAAGGAAGCTTCAACAGCAGCTTCCCAAGCCAAGAGGTTGAAGCAACCAAGTTCCCAACAATTCCCTTTTTGGAATGCAGAGCAACCCAATATTCGCCTTTGGAATTCCTTCTAATGTTGTCGGGAAAGCCCGGAAGCTGAGCGAGGACATCCAAATTTCCTGTTTTAGAGCCTTGAAGCCAATATCTGAGGATCCTGCCGGAGGTGGACTCAGCAACAAGCACATGGGAATGGTCCTTGCTTAGCTGAACTCCATTGGTAAAAGCAAGGCCTTGTAGTAAAACCGTAACTTGTTTGCTAGCTCGGTGGTACTTAAGTAACCTTCCTGTTCTATCTCCGCTCAAGATTGATGCCATGAACTGCCTGCAAGTATACAACATTCACTTAAACCAAAGTTTAATGATAATACCATAGCGAGTTAATAGACGCCGTTCCTGTTTCAAACATAATGAAGTGTTCCGTTAAAATAGAGATAACTAATGTACATCGGTTGAAGAGGGGAACAAAATATTCTTTGTAAGGGTGTGGAAACCTCTTCCTATCAAATGCGTTTTAAAACATTGAGGAGGAGCCTAAAAGGGAAAGACATGTTGGGCCTCGAAGGGGGTGGATAGTGAGATCCCACGTCAGTTGGAGAGGGGATCGAAACATTCTTTATAAAGGTGTGGAAACCTCTCCCTAGTAGACGTATTTTAAAACATTGAGGGGAAGCGCAAAAGAAAAAGTCTAGAGAGAACAATATCCGTTAGTGGTGGGTTTGAGCGGTTACAACCAATGACATGAGATAATATCAACTCATCTGAACATAACATAGAAAACTCAGGAACCAGAAGAACAACTAGTTTATGTTCATCAAATGGTTTTTTTTCAGCAGATTTTCTTCTCTAAGATCAGTTGCTAAAACGAGGCATGAATATGATTTTGAGTCTGTATTACCTTCTTTGGAAAACTGTGCTACTGTCAGTGAAGTATATGGTATCACTGTCCTCATCAATATCAAGATCATTTGTGAAGCGAAGTGGGATGCCTTCAAATTCACTCACAAGTTTTGTTGCCAAGCCTCCACCAGGTCCCACTACATGAAGGCCGAGATAGGCGTCGGCGATGTAGAGATCGCCAGTTATCTTATCAAAACGTAGTCCCAATGGCCTCCCACATATATGCTCCAATTCAAGTGCAAATGGCCTAACACACTCACTCCTTCAACAACATAAAACCAAACCAATTATCAGATGAACCTGAAAAATGAATAACATTTGCCAAACAATCATAAGCAGAGTCTTGGAAAGCTAGTAAATATTCTTCTCTTTAGGTTTTTTCTTCTTAGCTCTCCTAAAGGTTTTTAAATACGTATGCTAGGATAGGTTTCCACACTCTTATAAAAAATGTTTCGTTTTCCTCCCCAATCGATGTGGGATCTCATAATCCGCCCTCCTTCGAGACCCAGCATCCTCGATGGCACTTGTTCCCCTCTCGATATGGGATCCTCCAATCCTATGTTGAGGAACGAGTGCCAACAAGGACGTTGGGTGTCGAAGGGGGTGGAATGTGAGATCACACATCTGTTGGAGATAGTAACGAAACATTTTTTATAAAGGTGTGGAAAACTCTCCCTAAAAGAGACATTTTAAAAACTTTGAGAGAAAGCTTGAAAGAGAAAACCCAAACTAGACAATATAAGCTTAATCAGTCGGCAAAAACTTGATATCCAACCATAAGGGCACCAAAGTTAGCTGCCTCTGCCCCCAACTCCTCCTGATATGGGCGTTATGGCAAAGAACAAGAAGAATCCAAAGACCAGGTCCACGCAGGAGAATTTGACAATCAATTCTCCAAACCAAGCAATCTTAAAACCATACATTAATGCATCAATCTATATATATATATACTCACAATTTTTAAGGGAAAAACTTATGATTAATCAGCCATCTCCAAAATATTTCATATAATAACAAAATTCAACAATGATCATAATACAGAACACAAGTTGCAGCCAAGCAGCACCATTCCATTCCACGATCATATTACAGAACATCCAAAATGACAAGATTATACCTCTGAGAGCTAGTGACAGCGTAATCAATCCAGCCACGGCCATCGCCTTGCCACTTGAGAATCCGGCCATCAGCGACGCCAGTATAGGGGCCTTCTCCATTCGGATCAAAAACCAGGCTCTCCGGTCCGATTGCTCCGGTGACTGGGATGACGGTGGCGGAATGAAGATAGTCGTGGGTTCCTGGAATCTGCGGCGGCTCAAATACCTGATTTAGCTTGAGAAAAGGGATTTGGAGCGAGAAGAGGATGGCAACGACGGCTGCAAACGTCGCCACCGTCAATGTAAACATAAAATTCATGTGTTCTTCCTTTGCTGAAATGGGAATGGGTGGAGTGGAAAGACGGCCTCTAGAACTCTGTCAGTGGTGAAAAGATTGCTTCCCATATTCTATTTTGATATCATACTTTCTAACCACCTTTATTCTACTTTCAACCCCACATTGATGGGTGCATTATAATATTTCATCTCAATCGTTCCAAATCCGACACCTCATTATCCCGACATTCTCATATAATATGACATTTCTTGTCTAAGATTCAAAACCCGACACCTCGTGGTCTCGACATTCTCGTATGACATCACATCTCATGTCTAACATACATATGTTGTCTACTCGTCTAACAGTGTTTATAAAATTAAAAATTATTTTCACGAATTATTTCATCACGCTTCGTCGTTACTCACACAAGTATTTCGAATATAATCTCGATTCATTCATATATCATTTCATTACTTACACCAAATTTGAACTTCCAGCTCTAAGAAAAAATAAATAAATAAATAAATAAATGGTATTGTATTAAAATATAATTTTTAAAAAGAAAATTAATATTTATGTTGATGGGCAAATTAGGAACCTTTCCAAATTGGAATCACTTTTTTGATTTGATTTTATGAGTTGATAAAAGATAATTTGATGCCAATGCTTTTACATTTAGAGAGGATGCTTTTATAATATTTCATTTAATAAATAAAGTTTACTTTTTAAAACAAATTTAGATAAAAACATATATTTCCATTAATAATAATAAATTTAATTTTATAAAAAAAAAAAATTTATTATTATTATTTTTTTAGAATTAATCGATTGGATTGTAACGTTTTTATATTAATAAAATTTTAAAAAAAATTATGGGAATTTTAGAGATTGGATTTAAATAATTGGCTACCATCTTTAATATGGGCCTTACAATGAAAGGAAAAGTCAGTATATGGGCCACCGTTAAAAGCCCAAAAAGGGTGAAGTTTGCTAAATTGCAACTTTAGTCCTCAACTTTTTCAGTTATTGTAAAATAGATCTCTATAAATATTTAATAATTTTTTTGAAGCTTAAAAGGTGTAGTTTCTAAAATTTTAAATTCAATTCATTATGAACGTAATTGAAAGTTTATATCATATTCGACTCAGTAATTATGTCTAATAAATCGGTATTTTAAAAAATGTTTATTATGGAGAGACCTATTATATACAAATTAAAATGATCTGAAACGCTATTTACGAAATTGATTAAGAAAGTAATTCAAATTTAAAGAACGATCCAGCCTCATCCAAAACCATACCATATCTCAAATATTAAGAAAAGGTATGATTTAGAACATAAAAGTTGGGATTTTGATATTGATTTGGTGACTCCAAGTGGTTTCCAAAGGGTATTGGGAATATTATATTTTTACCAATTTTATACTCATTTTCCAATGGATTTGAAAGATTTTAGATCTTAAAAGATGAAGAAATGTTTAGTTCTTTCGAGTTCGTTCGTCCCGATCTTAAAATCTCCATCTAAATAGATTATATCGGACGATTTTGAGAGCTTCAACGTAGCTAAAAATATAATTTTTCTTCTATCAAAGTTTTAAAACGCATCTATTAGGGAGAAGTTTCTGCACTATTTATAAAGAATGTGGTCTCTCAATCCACCCCTTGGAGGTCAGCGAGTTAGTGACTCATTGCCCAATGTATAGCTTGGATACCATATGTAATATTGTGGTGTCTCACATTGGTTGGGAGGAAAACAAACCACCATTTATAAGGATGTGGAAATCTTCCATAGCAAACACGTTTTAAAGCCTTTAGGGGAAGCCTAAAAAGGACAATATCTGCTAGTGGTGGATTTTGGGCGTTATAAATGGTATCAGAGCCAGACACCAGACGATGTGCTAGCCTTCTCGCTGTTCCCCAAAGGGGTAGACACAAGGGGGTGGATTTTGAGGAAGGAAAGAGCGCCAGCGAGGATGTTAGACCTTGAAACCTTCTCCTAGCTAGCAGACGCGTTTTAAAGCCTTGAGGGGAAGCGCTCAAAAGGGAAAGTCCAAAGAAGACAATATCTGCTAGCGGTGGATCCGACCCTATGTTGAAAGGACAGTATATGCTTTCGTTCCATAGTTATTTGAATAGATATAATTAAAAAGAAATTAATTTATAATTTTGTAAAAGTAAAATATAATCGGAAGATATTATTATTATTATTATTATCTAATAACGTGCACTCTAAATAAATAAAATGGGTTTTGAGTTTCCATGTGAAAGCATTAGACTTATGCTTTTATTATTTAATGTAAGAATTAAAATAATAATTAAAGAAACATGGAGAAAAGCTTGTTCATTAGTGGTAAAATTATAATATTAATATCATAATTATATTTTAAACATATGGGATTACAAATTCATTAAAAAATTTGATACTCCTTGATTTCATGGTGTCACCTACATAATAATAATAATAATAATAATAATAATAATAATAATAATAATAATAATAATAATAATAATAATAATAATGGCTTGATTTAATGTAGACCTATACACGAGGGTCGGGTTGAAAAAATCTTTTAAACCAATTCGAAATTTTAAATTGATTAGGTTGATAACTCGAGTACTCAAGTAGAGTTCATAACCAAACCGAATCTTCTATTTTTGGGTTGAATTGAGTTGTCGGGTTAATTTTTATTATTATTATTTAAAAATAATTTTAATTATTTACGATATATGTTATATTAATAACTAAAATTTTATAAAACTCAAATATCAAACATTATCGTTGATTAAAAAAATAAAAAAATCTTAATCTCGCTAATATATTAAAAAGTGATATGTTGGGTTGGGTTGAGTTGTAACCCTATTTTCGACTGACCTGATTTTGTAAAAATTCAATCCAATCTAAACGGAAAAAATTCAATTCAGCCGTTATGATTTGTCATTTTTTTGAAAAAATAATAAAACGTGAAATTATCGACATTGTATTACTATTCACATAAAAACGAGACGTTGGATCAATTATAATATAATAATTGATGATATTTGAAAGGGAAAAGAATGAGAAAGGCATGTGGGGGAGAGCATGAGAGATGCGTGGGCGAGGGATTGAGTGGTAATGTCACGTCTTCTATGTGATGCCTCTCATGCTTTTCGTTCGCCGTATCAATTTCATGACCTAAGTACATAATTTACTTTATTTTCAATAAATTATATTCGCATTCGCCGAAAACAAATTAGATTTTTAGGGATCGATATAAACATAAGAATAAATCGTCACGGTTATCATATAATAAGAAAATCGACGAAACATAAAAATATAGTTTATATACTTAATTTATAAGCTAAGACGGGATGGATTTAGTGACAAATTTTATTCAATACGATTAAATATTTATTGAAATAATTTGATCATTGTCTCAAACGAGAAGTCCACGAGCTATTAGTACAGTGATAGAGCATGTCCCTAGTATTTACGATTTTTGTACTCGGGATAAAATGATGCAACAATAATGGAATATAATATTTGGGGAGAAAAACTAAAATATTGTAATTGTATTTATAAGTATATTGTTAGATTGTTTTATTTGGTTATAATGTTTGGTAACAGTTAAATGTCACAATTTTCAAATCTTTCATCTTTAATGGGTGAATCTTGTGTGGGACCTACTTATATGTGAATAAGATGACTTCAAACTCCATGACAAAATTTATAAATTTTGATTTCATATTTGATTTATGTTTTATTTTTTATTTTTATTTTTCAAGTTGCCATAGATATTAAAATCAAATATTAAATTAATTATAATTAACTAATTTATTGATTCCAATACATATATATATATATATTATTTTTTTATTAAGATGTAAATTGTCAATTCATTTATTAATGTTTTTTTATTTAAAGGAACAAAAATAAAATATTAATTTTATTATGAATCTAGCATAATTTAGATAACATATTCAATTATTAACAAAAAATAATGATAAATTATAGCAAAATATAGAACTTGCGTTAATTAATTATAACAATTTAATTATTTGTAGGTTAGTGAGTGGATTGCTATGTTTATAGATAATTGTTTATAAATACGTAATCGATTTATACAAATAAATGGCTACTATATAAAATAATATACCAATACTACCATTATTAAAGTTAATCAAATTCTCAATGATTTTTTTTTTTTTTTTGGTACTTTTGGGCGGTACAATAGTATTAAAGCTAGACATCGGACGATGTGTTAGGCTTCTTATTGTTTTTCAAAGGGGGTAGACAGGAGGCGGTGTGCCAGTAAAGACGCTAGCCCCAAAAGGGATGGATTTGAGGGCGATCCCACATCGATTAGAAGAAGAAAAGAGTGTCAGTGAGGACACTGGACACTGAAGGGGTGGATTGTGATGTTCTCACATTGGGTAGGGAGAACAAACCACATCTATAAGAGTGTGAAAACCTTCCTCTAACAAAACGTGTTTTAAAGCCTTGAGCAGAAGCACGAAAGGGAAAGTCCAAAAAAGATAATATCTAATGGCATTATATATATATTCTTTTGAAAATGAAAATTCATCCTAGTATTATTTTGTATTCACATATATTCGTATTATAATAAATTAAATAAAATTTGAAAGATTACAAAAGATATTTAAAAATATTTGATAATATTTTTTTAACTTCCTATGTCAAAATGAAGGGGATGAAAATTATAATTTAATCGAAGAAAGAAAGAAAAAAAAGCATGGGATGAAAACAAAATTAATTAAAAAGTTAAAAGGGTGAAATCTTGAAACAAATCCCAATTCTTGTGTCCATTATAGAAAAAATAATAATAATTGAAGAAGCATGTCCCACTTCCCGATCACTTGGGAAGATATTGGGGACGATTCGTCTCATATATAAATAATAATAATAAATACTATTCTCCCCCTTTTCTTTTTCTTTTTCTTTTTTATTTTGTTGTTTTCTTATATATATATATATATATATCAATCGCTTGCCTTTCAATTCAAAAAAATAAAAAATAAAAAATAAAAAAATTCGGAAGATTTGCAACAAAATGCGGTCGGATCTTGCTTCGTGAGATGTTAATCGTGGTGGGTCATTTTTTCCCCCTCCTCCCTTCCTCTTAAAACCAACGCAAACCCACCAATTTCCCACTCTCTCTCTCTCTCTGATTCTGGATTTGGGGGCAATCATGGTTATGGCTGCCGATTCTCAGTTCCATGTTCTTGCCGTCGATGATAGCCTCATAGATAGGAAGCTCATCGAGAGGCTTCTCAAAACCTCCTCATATCAAGGTATTTCTATCTTCTTCCTTTTTTAATTTTGTATATTCCATATACAAAATCCAATTTCTGTTTGTGTAGGAATTGGTTTGGTGAATTCTTTGTTTGATTTGGTTTCTGTAGTTACTACGGTTGATTCAGGGAGTAAGGCCTTGGAATTTCTGGGTTTGATTGAAGAACATCAGCATACCAACTTCAAATCTCCTTCTTCTTCTTCTTCCTCTTCCAACATTCATCATCAGGTTATTCTATTTCGGATTTGGATTCGTTCTTTTTCATTCCATTTTCTTCTTCTGTTTCTGAAATTTTTTGAGTTTTTGTTTTCAGGAAGTGGAAGTGAATCTTATCATTACTGATTACTGTATGCCTGGGATGACTGGCTTCGATTTGCTCAAGAAAGTTAAGGTAAGAGGGAAAGAAAGAAATAAAGGAAGAAGTTCTATAGTTTCTTAGTTCTACTCGTTGTTGTTGCTGTTGTTCTTCTTCTTTCTCTCTCTCTTTTTTTTTTTTTTGGATTTTTCTGAAGAATGCGTTTGTCAACCCGCCACTTGTTTGAGGAAAATTCTCAGAGAATATTTTCTCACTAACTTTCTTTTGTTTCCTTTCTAGTCAATTAGATCTGTGTTATGCTGTTATTCTCAATACTTTTCCTGGAAAATCTGTTCTTCTTTGGAAACAAACAGAGAGACTAATTAGGAACTTGCCTAATCACTACTCCTGGAACTTTCCTGGAAAATCTGTTTTTCTCTGGAAACAAACAGAACTAGTTAGGAATTTGCCTAATCACTACTCCTAAAACTTTCCTGGAAAATCTGTTTTTCTCTGGAAACAAACAGAGAGACTAGTTAGGAATTTGCCTAATCACTACTCCTGAAACTTTCCTGGAAAATCTGTTTTTCTCTGGAAACAAACAGAGAGACAAGTTAGGAATCTGCCTAATCACTACTCCTGAAACTTTCCTGGAAAATCTGTTTTTCTCTGGAAACAAACAGAGAGACTAGTTAGGAATTTTTCTAATCACTACGTCTGGAACTTAACTGGAAAATCTGTTTTCCTTGAAAAACAAACAAACATAAACAGAGGACAAATGAATGGACGTAAATTTAACAATTTCTGTGAATTTGCAGGAATCGACGTCTCTTAGAAACATACCAGTGGTGATAATGTCATCCGAAAACTTACCTTCGAGAATCAGCAGGTAAGGAATCAAGAATCGATTTGCAATTTCTTCTTCAATGGATCGATCTCTGATATCGCTTGATCAGAAACTGATGTAATTGGATTTAATTGATGTTCGAAGCAGATGTTTAGAAGAAGGCGCGGAAGAGTTCTTCCTGAAGCCAGTTCGATTGTGCGATGTGAATAAACTGAAACCACATATAATGAAGACGAAATTCAAGGATCAAAATCAAGAAGAAGAAGAAGAAGAAGAAACAACAGAGACCGAATTCGAATCGATTGAAAAACAACAACAACAACAACAGATTCAAATGAACAGTAACAACAAGAGAAAGGCGGGGATGGATGAAGAAGGTGTGGGAGAGGACAGAAGAAGAAGAATAAGGTACAATAGCAATGGCGTCGCGACTGTGAATTGATGGTGTTGATTAATGGTGAGGCGCCATGCGAGAAATTGTACATAAAGGTTTCTGAAAATTAGCGGAAGTTTTTTTTCTTTTCTTTTTTATTATGGAGATTTGTTATACAAAAAAAATTCAATTTTTGTGTCTTCTAAATTTATATTTAATATATATTTTTTTATTTTTAAAAGTTTTAAATCGACAAAAATAAAATAAAATAAAATAAAAATAAAAATAAAGGTCGGATCCTTTTCTAAATAATTATATGTTTTTATTTATACTTTTAATTATTTTATAAACTAAAAAATATTTTAATTTTGTATTTAATATATTAAAAATATTATATTTGTTTGGTTAGATGATCTTTCAACAAAAATTTAAACAGTTTTAACGGATTAAATATGTTTATGACAATGAGATAAATAAGGAGTTGATATGCGCGTTCTTCTAAACATCTGTAGATTTTTAATTGCCATAATTTACCCGACAAAGACACGAGTAATAGATTGTTGATATACGCGGAGACATGTACTTTAGTGAGAGGAGCATGGATTAATAGTTTTTTTTCGTTATTTTCTGTCGGACGACAATGGGCTATACATCATTTTATAGTGGATTTGCGAATTATTGGGCCGAGTTGGATTTGAACCAGCATAGACATATAGTCCGTCCTCATTAACCGCTCGGACATCGACCTGGGAAGAATAAATCCAATATTTCTTAAAAAAAATATAAAATGTGGAATTTTTTAAAAAAGTTTAAAGGGGTTTTTATAAAATTTTGAAAAAGTCTTATGAGGGTAAAACTGGAATTTCAATGTAATTTCATAAATCGTCCAAGTTTCGATCATGCGAGGCCGTGGCCATTGATTTTATCCAATTGGGTGTTAGGTGGGCCCGGTTTGCTCATTTCCACGTGGAAAAGCTGTACGTTTTTCATTTAAAAAATACAGCTTGGATATAAATGTATAAATAAATAAATAAATAATAATAATAATAATAATAAAAGCTTGGCCAAAATATGAAAACTATTACCGATGAATGGAATCGAAACCAGAGGAAGAGGCGATCAAAGCACACCCAAAAAAAGCTAAGAATAAATAAATTCATTCATCAAAATCTTCATTTTTACTCCTCCAATTCCTTCATCACTTTCTCTCTCTCTCTCCCCGTTTCTGATTCTTCCTCCTATGAACTTCCCTCCAACTTGTTTCTCCTCTTCCAATCCGATTCAGGTATGATCTCCACCGACTCTGAAACTGGAGTTCTTAATTTTCGCCGAATTTACTTTTTGATTTTTGCTTCTTCTTCTTCTTCTTCTTCTTCTTCTTCTTGCGATTTTATTTCCGCTTCTGTTTATCATCGCCACTTGTTCGTTTATTTTTCCCAGTTTGGAACTCTTTTAGGGTTTTTCCTCTCCCTGTTTTAAGTTTTATGGTTGTTGGACGCCATTGAGGTGGAATCGTTGAGGAACGATGTGATTTTTCGACTATGACCTTCGTGATAGTTTTTTCTGTTGACTGTGGACGCTCGTTTTAATTTTTTTGGAGTTATGGTTGTTTGATTTTTATTGCCATCATTTTTGCGAGGGGATTTTTAGACCACTGGAAGAATGTTCACGCATGCGGAATTAACCGCAAATCTTGTGCATCACGGTTTCAGGTCGAGGGTCGAATGTATTAAAAAAAAACAAAGAAAAGGATATTGGATGTCCGAATCATTATTTGATAGGGTCAGGTGATCAACATGAATAACAGGGTTTGGTGTAATTTGTTGTCTTGAGAACCTTGTGGTCTAGGTTTAAGGTTGTTCTGAATAGTTCCTTTTTTTGTTTTGTTTGGTATTATTTTTGTTACCGAATTCAAGGATTTCACTTTATTGATTTGCATCGTTGGATTGGATTGTGTCCATAATACGATATTGTTCATAATACATCCTTGTCAGTTTAACGCAAGCCATTATATCATTCCTCTGCTAAAAATAAAAAGTTTTCTTCAAGATTTTCTTTTGGATGATGCCCCTACAAAATAATAATGGGATTCTCAGGGTTGAGAGGTCGTGTGTTGAGGCTTGTGAGGGGGTGAGGTTTAATGGTCTTAGGCGGACTTGGATTACTAGGTCTTTTTGTAATTATGATATTGTTTGATTTTGTTGAATTAGAGTCTGTTTCTGTAGTTAGTTCTTGAAGTCCCTTTTGTTTGATTTTGTTGAATTAGAGTTTATTCTTTCAATTTTTTCTCAATGAATTTTTGGTTTATCACCTGAAAGAAAGATAGCCAACATGCAGACAGTGTGGACATGAGAGAAAATAGTAATGAAAAGTTAAGGAGCAGTGCAAGAAAACTCTGGAATATGTGAAGTATTTCTTGATGATTCCACATAGGACAAGTATTATACCTTCTTCCAAAATATTTATTTTTCTGATTATTTAATTTTAACCCAGAATTTATTCCTCCAGTCAACTTTTCAACAGTATTCCCTTTGAGTGAAGAATATTCCCTGATGCATGACATGATAGATTTGTTCTTTCATTTCACGTGTACTTATTTTACACTTTTTGACGTGAACCTTGATTATATTTTCCTTTTGGTTTTGTCATTCAACTTATTTGATGCATTGAACAGCCTGCCTTGGTCCCATACTATCCATCTCCAGTAATTTGTATTATTCAGAATCTGTAGTAGAGGAAAGTGGTGGATAATCAATAAGAATGTCGAGCGGATCAATGAGAAGAGTTTCGCGCCAAGATATCCAACTGGTAAGCTGACGTGTTCTTGGTCAGTCACTTATCAACTCCCCCTCCCGCCACTTTTCATTCTACTGCAGTTTTGTTTGTCCTAATCGTTATGAAGACACTTTTTTCTTTGATCATCCAAATTTACTTTTATGAGATAATGGTGTGCTACATTATTTCCTTTCTGTCTGATGCTAGGTGCAAAATCTTATTGAACGATGCCTTCAGCTATATATGAACCAAAAGGAAGTTGTGGAAACACTACTGAACCAAGCAAAAATCGAGCCTGGTTTTACAGAACTTGGTAACAACGAGTTTATGTTTCTTGCTACCTTTCTGCTCCCTTGCACATAAAATTGAAATTGTGAGAGGTGTTGATGAGAGGATTATTATATCAGAACTAAAACCGTCATGCTAAAATTTTTGTTAGTTTGATGTAGTATTTGAGTTGTCACTTAGCTGTTAGACAGTTGATAATAATAATTCTGGATTAGTCGTTATTATGGTAGATATTCCTACTGTCTTACAGCAATTTAATGTATTTCTTGCGCTCTAGTTTGGCAAAAACTTGAAGAAGAGAATCGTGAATTCTTCAGGGAGTATTATCTGAGGTTAATGGTGAAGCGTCAGATAGTTGAATTCAACAGGTTGCTCGAGCAACAAGTTCGAATGATGCAAATACAAGAAACTGGAATTACTCCCTTGCCTGCCTCCAATGGATCACTCGTCCAACAAAGTGAGTCTGATTCAATTGTCCTGCTTTCTTTGCCTTTTTCTTTTTCTTTGTTTTTTTTTTTCTTTTTTCTTTTTCCCCTTCTTTTGTTAAGTTTCTAATGGTTTTCATCTGGAAATGTCCTGCATTTGTAATTTATTATAGTTATTGCACGTCACTCCTTTTCTTCTATAATAATGTCAATACATGGTCTGATTTATCTCATTTATTTTGTCCAATTAAAATAGTTGGTGGCTAGTTGAAACTGGAGAAATGAGACAAGGGAAGACATGATCACCCGTTCATGTCATGATACTCTTGTACTCTCGTTTTGATCCCTAAACTGTGGGTTCAGATAGTTGAGTTAAATTGAAATGAAAAATCACTATTTTTTCCCCATGTAATTCAGATATACAACCAATCATATCAAGGAAAAGAGGCCATGACTTCTTTTGCTGTGATCCCTTTTTCAGCAAGTAACTAATAAGTAGTAAACATCATTGACGATCCTGGCTTAACTTTGCTTCACGTACTGGACGTGGATAGTTAATTGCTGACAAAAAGCGCTATTTCTGCTGTCTTTAACAGTATTGGTTGTGGAAATATTGTTTTATCCATATTTAAAGTACCTCTATTGTGTTAAGTTGTGATACTTTGATCTGAGGTTTTATACTTTTTTTAATAGATAATGCTCTATATGCATTAGGATATGCCCAATCCGTTAGAGACCTGGTTCAAACTAAGCAGAGAATTGTCAAATTAATGTTTCAAATCTTCTAAATGTCTTAAAAAGTTTTCACAAACCCTTAGGTAAGGAGCTTTAATGCATGTTTCTCAAGTTATTATTTTATCTTCTAGACCAATTATATGAGGATTAACTATAATAGATGTTGGCATTCCATCTTTGAACAGTGCACCAGAATCCAACATATACAGTATCTTCATTGAAGCAGAATAATGTGCAGCATCCTTTTGGCAACAGCATGCCCAACAATGCGTTTCCCAATGGTGCTGTGTCATTGCATTCAAGAATCCATTCAACAGTTGACATGTCTGCACGTGCGAGTAGGATCGAAGCGCCACCATCTGTACTTCCAACCCAAAGCTCAAATATAGGTATGAATGGTAGGACAATAAAAACAGAAGTTGGATATTCAGGCAATTCCTCTTACATGTTTGGGGGCGTTGATGGTAATGTGGTGGAAGCACGCCAAACAATAGGGGACGTATCGGTGGCACCTTTCTCTGGCATGGAGTCCAGTGGTCAACCCATGAATGAAGCACTGCTGGAACCGGATACTTCCTCTTTTGGATTTCTTGGTCAGATTCCTCGGAATTTCAGCCTATCAGATCTAACTGCAGACTTTTCCCAGAGTTCAGGTCTGTGGTGTTTGCTTGCTGTTCTTATACCAAGCTGGCAATCGTATGTTAAAAAATCCGATATAGCATTCTTTGATAAACATTAGAGGGTATAACTTGTTTGATGGTATAAATTATAACAAAACTCTGCTCAATACCAATATCTTGCTTTTGTTAATATCAGATATACTGGAGAGCTATGCTAGATCTCCTTTTCTCGCTACAGAAACCGAGAACTTCATGGATCATCAAGGTGCAAATTATGTACCTAAACTTGCCATTTGTTTTCTAGAATGATTACTGACTCCATCTTGTTTTGCATGCTTAGGAGATAATAAGAAGTCGTTGGATACCATTTCAGAAGGCTTGAGTTATGAGGACTTTGGAAGTGATTCATGAGTCCTTATTATCTGTTTGGTTAGATTAAGGTATACTCTTTTTTAACCCTATTTCATCTCTCTGAAACTTGGCTTATTCCATCAGTCATTTTCAAATATTTTCACTGTAGACGACTTATGTATGAAACGTAATGATGATCGAAATAGGATTCTAGTCTATTTTGTAAGTTTTGAATTTCTCCGCTGATGCTCAACTTGTCGTGTTCGTTTTTAATTACTTATGCAGGTCTTTAATTTCTTTTGGAGGAAAAGGGGATGGACTAATAATGTTTGGGGAAGTATCAAACTGGAAATGCATCAGATTTGAATTTTTTTTAAAAAAAAAAAAGGAAAGGAAAGAAAAAAAAACACATGCTTCAGATTATACTGACATCACAATATGTAGTGGTAAAGCTTTGTTTGGGTCAACTTCAGAAATGTATGTAAAGGCATAATTCTGCTTCTCAACTTCAGTTAATTATCTTTTCATAGGATGATTTGTAGTTGTGTTGTTTCTTTTTCCTTTTCGGTCGATAGTAAATGCAACAATATTTAGATGACATTGTATGTAAACTATCTTATATTAGACTCATTTTCATTTGTTTTGTTTAGTTTATGATCTTTGAACGAACCAAATAGTTTATGATCTCAAGCGAGTTGAATTTTGAGAATTTTGATCAAAATCTTTAACGACAGCACGTTTCCTCTTCACAAAACCATTTGATAAATGCTTTTGGTTCTGTTTTTAAGTACAAAAATATATCAACCTTGCTTCGTATTTCACATAATCCACAAGGCCTAGTTTGCTTAATTGCTTCTCACATTCCTTGCAACTGAAGAACCTGAATGATTAGTCAACAAATAAAACAATATTACATAACAGATGAGAAAAGATTGAAACTTAAAATACTCTTATAAAATCAAGCTACATAATGTTGTAACAGATGAATCAGAATGTTGCCACATGAGTCAGAAATGAACTTACAAGAGACGACACTAAGTTCTCGCTGAAGTGTCTCTTCTACATGAGCTTCTCGTAACTCGCAATTTGGAGGACCCTGCAAGACGGCAGACAGGCAACGACTAAATGGAAATTCTTGAAATCTCAAAAAGGATAAAACAATCAACTTCTTGGGCTCACAATACCTTCATTCTTAACTTGGAAAGGTTTAATTTCAGTATTACATGTTTCCGGGCCTGTCAGCTCACTTAAGGTACCAGAATCTTCCGACTCAACGAACTTAGCTTCTGAATTGTCATTTATAGATTCAGCATCTTCAGATGATTCAGTGTTTTCATCTGCAAGGATGATCTTCTAATGTTAAAGTTCCTAAAAATTATAGTATTAGACTGTTTAGAACATACAAAATAGGGGCGGGGGTGCATATTTTGTAGTATTCCTCGTACTAGCATATTCAGAACAAAAAATTAGGCACGAGAACAATAATATGCAACTTTAATGCTTCCTAATATGCATTTAGAGCCAAGGAACTGAGGAACTGAGGAACTGAGGAACTGAGGAACACGGGAAAAAAGAACAATGGAAATGAGTTGGTGGCTTAAACCAACCTTCGGTGATTTCGGACTTCGGAGCATCTTCTTCATTTTTTGCTGCCACAGAAGAAGTTTCAATATTACCAATCCTCTGTTGATGAACTTGGGCGTTTCTAGCAGTAGCTTCCTGCTCCTTCCTTTCCGTATGAGTCTTGTTAAGCTTTTCTTCGAATTCTTCAATGCACAACTTCAGTTCTGGTTTAGCAAATTTCTTGCTCTGAAATAAAATATGGAGAGATGAGACTTAATTATTCAAATGTCAGGGTGTGTACGTTCTAGCCAATAACCTCATACCTTGCTTATGATGCTCTTGAAATGTTCCATTACAGAGTCCTCAGAAACAGCATGTTCGTATGTCTTGAATGAATCTATCAACTTTTTCATTCCCTTTTCGGTGAAGCCTAGTTGAGAAAGGCAATATGAAATGTATTCCCACTGTTTAACATCTGCAAACGGATAATAGTCATAAGCTTCAAAACATCATCATATGGTTAGTAGGAAAACTTGATACTTGATACCAAAAAGTGAGATTATAGCCAATAATGGTTGGTTAAACAGAGAAGACATTAAAACTCAAAAGAGATGGTTTATATCTTCTTCTTCCTCCTCATTCTCTATTTTTCTTCTTTTTGGCAAGAATCCTATTTTCCAGCAAGCTCCTCGTATATCTTGGACGATCCCGTTCCAATTGGACCTTGAACTAATGTCATCTCTTATCAATTACTAACCCCTACTCGGGATGAACTTGAATGACTTTTGGCATAAGTAACTTTAGTCTATCGACCTTCTAAACGAAATACCTTTACTTGACACTTGATTCATTCACCAATGGACTAACTTTAATAATGCATCACAAAACTATGATCCATAGCATGTGAAAGCTTCCCTACTACTACTATTAAAAGTACTTGAGTACAACTAAACAAAATAAAAAATACCTCAACAATAAAGTATTGGGTATTAACAATTCTGTACTAGACAATTTGTTGCGTAAATAATAGAAGTCATACCAAGAAGTACAAAACTCAAAACTTAGCTAGTAATTCAGTGGGACATTATAAATTTGAAGTACACAGAAAAATTATAAATTGAAAAACGTGCACAAGGAGTGAAGAGTTAAATTAATACCTGAAACTCCACTAAACCTATTGCAAAGCTTTTCGACGAGTGACTCCATTTGTTTGTCCTAGAAAAACATAACAAGCAGTTAGTTTTAGAAATACATTTGTTTGTCCTAGAAAAGCTTAACAAGTAGTTAGTTTTAGAAATATAAGTTAAGATTAGTTACATTTTTTCGATCAAATTTCCCTTACCTTCTTGATGGAGCCAATCAAGAATTGCATAATATTACAGAAGGACTCTCTCGGTAGGTTCTGATTAGAGAGTTTTCCTAATATATCTGGTAGTAGATTGTATATAGGATTTGCTCCTGTAGATAAGGGGATGAGAATAAGAATTTTGTATGAGCAAAAACAAGTTCGAGTAGTGAACAGAATGTGAGCGTTATTAAAAAGTTCATTGATGTTATAAACAATACCTTTCTTAGACAACTCATGAAAAAATAGTTTCGCCAGATTTGATATTCTCTCATCATCATCTTCTAAACGTAGAGTCATTTCATTTATATAACCTTTTACCTAAGCACATGCACAAATATCAAATTAGTCTTCATCAAATATGATCAGACAAATTAAGACAAACTAACAGTATTCCACCAATCAAACCTTCATCATATCATTTAATATGAGATGAGAAAGCACCAATACAGCATTCTTCCGAACAGAATTCGAAGGATCCTTCAATCTCCCATACATATTCTCAGTCCACGGTTCCAAAAGATTAGGGAAACGAACAGCCAAATCTCCTAATGCAATAGTACAATTGGAACGGACAATATCTGATGGTGCGGTTTCTACAACCGTGAAAAGAAGTTGAAGATTTGCATTGCTGAAAGTTCATTTTCTTGAAAGTTAGGAAATCTTTACACCAATTATTACAGAGAGAGAGAGAGAGAGAGAGCGAAAGAGGGGTCTCACCAAAAATCTGCATCAATGATCATTAAACGACATAAAGCAAGCATTGCAGATGCTTGTAGATCTGGGAACTGCAGATGGAAATAATAGACAGTAAGAACAATTCAAATTACATTTCCAACATTCATAAAAATAATACAAATTAAAAATAACGTTGGTTTTAATGTTTGAAATGTGTACACAAAGCACAGAGTAGTATGCCGCTAACATGTTACAACTTTCCATACAAATCATACGACTCAAAAGCTCTGCATTTTTGCAATTGCTTGGACATATTTGAACGTATAAAGTAATAAACATAATGTAAAAATTCACATGGCAAACATCACAACCAAAGAGAAACAAATGAACATTCCCGCAATATGGCGAATCCTGAGCAGTGTTTCAGTCCAGTGTGCCCAAAAGCCAGCTAAGCAACGAACAGATTAATGAATAAAACAATTCATCCATAGTATAGATGTAAGACGGATCACAAACATTCACCTTATGCAGTAGGCTGAAATTTCTGCAAAGTTTGGAAAGAAACGGTGCACATTGCCCTATTAAATTCTTCCCTCCTGAATTACCAAAAACAATTTCTTTTTCTGCCTTCTCTGAAAGAGAATCAATAATTGCATCTTCAGAAGCAGCAAGGCCTAGCTCAGCATTTATGCCATTTTCCTGCAAGAATCAGTGTCACATTTTATATTACAAAAATAAAGTTGGTAGATAGTAAAAATAAATGGAAGACGTAACTTTATCCTCGTCCCATAACTGACTCATTATACAAACGGAGAACTCACCTTCACGCCATTAGCCACTGTTGCACCATTACCGTGTACAGTCTGACCATCAGCCATTTTATACTTCGCTTTTTGTTTCTGGATCTTTCGGGTGCACGATTCGATATATACTAGTTGGTTCATGGCTACATGACTTGCAATAAATAAATATCTACTAAGTTTCTCAATTTGGACAGTAGTTAATATGTCACCTTCGCCACCTTCAATGTCATTTTGCAGGTGAACTTCCTTGTTACCATTAAAAACAGAAGTAAGAGATTTTTTAACCAAATTTGCTGCTATGTTTTCCGGAGACGGATGAATTGAATATATAGCTGCTATGGCTTTATCAACAGCAGCATACCATATATTCTCTGGAAGCCAAGAACTAGTAATCAAGTTTTCCAGCTTATCGAACACCCGGTTGCCATTACCAGCCAACAACTTCTTTTTGTCATCTTCAGACAGTTTTTGGATGGCAATGCAGGCTGTCCTGGCAAGTAAAGGGTCCACCTTAGACCATCGACCAAACCCGATGTCTATAATATCCTGTATATGAGAGCCAACAATAGCAGCAGATGATTTTGATGCCATGCAAAGAACAGATAAAGCACCCCGGCTTTGCTCTGCTGTGGTTCCACCAACATTAAAGCAAAAGAAATCCCATAAAGCTGATATCTGGAGAGAAGGAAAAAAAATTAAAAATAAACACTTCATTAATTATCGTATACACTCCATGGTAGAAACTCATAGACCACGGATTATTGTGGAGATCAATGCACCATTAACAAGCAAGCTAAAATCACGACAGCTAACAAACTAACTTTTCAGATGTCAGCATAAGACAACCGAACTTAAACTCTGTACCCCATCATAGGCATGTCGATCTAATTAGTCACATCTGATATCTGATATCTTCAATTAATTGAAGATACATATATTCACATATCATTCTAATAAAGTTCGTATTCTTTAAATTATTGTGGTAGTATATGCCAGTCTAAAGTTAAAAATGTTCCATAAAAGAAGTGAATACCATAGAAATGAATTTTTTTCCCTAGTACTTTAACTTTTAGAGTCCGAGTTACTATTCAACTCATTCAGATGCTACTCAGACTGTAAAGTATAATAGGAAATGAATTTTTGTCGACTATCTTTTTGCTATTTTTCTAACATTATAAAATATCCTACAAGTAACTGGCCCCTTATAAGCACGATTGTCAGGCCAAACTTCCAAGAAAGTTGTTAACTTGCGAAGAAAAGATGAGAAACAGCGATAAATAGTAAGACATACCGTGCTTCCAGATATATCACCCTTCGATACCAAGGCATCAATCATAAACTCCAGAGCTGCAAGATCTCCAATGTTTGAATCAATGGCAAGATGTAGAAGATTTTTAGCAGTTTCAATTGGGTTTTTTGTTATATATATTGTTATGAAGGCGTTCTCAACGGCTTCATAGATGGATTTATCTTGAGAAAATGCCTACAAAAATAATAAAATTTTATTCTACAAAAGAACTGTTCGACAAATTAATGATGAACGATATCTAGCAAAAGGAAAATAAAAATTGACAACTTTAAGCCCTGATAAAAAAAAAAAAACTAAAGCATACCAATGGCAACATTTTACGGAGACAAGCCTCTGAACCATCAATTTGGAATTGTCTGCACCTCATCAACAAAAGAATTGTATTCTCAACGTCAGTGGCGGAAGAAGAAGCCATTAACTGAACTAGTATTGGCATTACTTCTGATATACATGTCGAAAACCTCAGGCCAGCCTCTAGAGATGCAACCAAAGCCCTGATCTGCTCCAAGTTTCCAACATCCAAAGTCAAATTGTCCTTCTGAACAGCCTCTTCTTCCATTTGAGAAGGATAGCTATCAGTCAAACTATCTTGCTGGTTCCCTCCCCCACCTTCTGTAAGGCCATTATCAACTTCACCATCACCATTAAAGATATCGTCGTCAAATGACAAGCCACCTTCCACATTTTCTGAGGACTTTTCTGGTTCAAGCTCGTCTAATTTCTTCTTATACTGCTCTAAAGTTGCTTCAAATGAAGCTATTCGCAGCTGTGGACCAAATGGGTTATGCTGCAACATAGTGATGAGCAATTGCAGCGCAGATTTTCTGACAATTGCACTCTTATCCTCCAACCTTCCAGCAGCAACCGCTGCCACTTCATTCCACAAACCGATAGAAACAGAATGTGCTTCACATAGGTCAGCCCAAACCTGAAGAACTCGACTCCTAGTGTAAGCTGAAACATCCCGACAACGTTCAAGCAAGATTTCTAGCATTGCCTGCTTGCTTCGAAGACGAACAGATTTACAACTCAGTTCACCTTCAATGTCGAAAAACGCTTTAGCAATCAACTTACCAAGCACCCCCACAAGAGCATTCCTTATTTTATAGGATTCACCACCAAAATGTGGGATCAGAAGTCCAATGTTGGTGGAGAATAACTTTGGGAGCCTGTCAGCGAGCTCTACTAGGAATCGCCCTATGTTTTCAGCCCCAGCTGTGTCTTTAACATAGTCTTTCGGGTTAGTCCTTCCAACGTCTCTAATAAGAGAGATTGCCAGGATTCCATCAGAATATTTCTTCTCTGCCCCAGCAACAGCATCAGCGACGTGAGTCACAACGTAATCATACTTGTGAATAAGGTGCATAATTGAGGCACATGATTGGGTCGTAAAGTGATATTTTGTAGAACAAGCACCAATTATACGACACAGAGCATCCTTCGAATCAACATCCTTCAAAAGGATTGGATTCTCGAACATTGAGACCACGTTTCTAAAGAAAACCCGAGTAAAAAGTGTTAAAATTACAAGTAATACCCAGGGAGTTGTTTTCACCAAGTAAGTTATAGTACGTACTTTGCAATAAAAGACAGATAATTCTCATCCGGGTCTGATGAACCAAAGAGCAACGAGATGTTGATCTCCATTGAATTAGCAATCAAGTTTAATATACGGCCCCTTTGGAGTTCCCAATTCCACGAACTTCTGGGCATTTTCTTCCGAGTACTAGCGGTGACCTGAAGGCATGATTGAAGGAGCTTGGGTGAAATTCGATTCAAGCTAACAAAACCACAAAATTTATCAAACTAAAAATCATTTAGAAAGCAAAAAATGACCAACGTAGAGGAATTAGCAGACAACCTTTGAATTGTTGCTACTACTACCACTGGATTCCTCACTGGTGACAATATTGAGAAGGAAAAACGTATAGATTTTAAAAGCATTGCGATAAGAAGCAATCTGATCGAGAACTGGAGCGTCGGCATCATTACTTGAGGAAGCTCGTGCAAGCGAATCAATGTTGGGAAGAAGAACACTGAAATTAGAGCGGAGACCCTCAACAATATTCAATTTACAGGAGGGAGAGAGGTTATTATAGTCCCGAATCAAAGAGTACACACGATCGAAAATATCCTGCTCTTCGACGCAGAAGAGGTCCTTGTCGGAAAGATCAAAGGAAACGCCTGTTGGAATTGGAGGAATTGAAGAACGCAGATGGGAAATTAAGGGTGATATGTGTTCCAAAATGGAAAAAGTAGTGAAACAGTGGAAGGAGGGACGAACCTTTGACGAATTCTTCAAGTTGAGATGGAGGAAGAGATGCGACTTCTGTAGGATTCTGTACGCATAGGCGATTATCGTCGTAGTCTTGTTCGAGAGATCGAAGGGTTTGGGGTAAGACGAAAGGGGAAGCCATTGGAGAGAAATCAGAGAGAGACGATGAAGCGCTTCAGAATCAAAGTTGAGAGTCCAAATTCAAATTGAAAGGGGTTTTCAATGAGCGGGAAGGCACTGTCAGTGTCCGGTCTGTACCGGGTCGGGTCAGATTACGGTCGGTCGGGGCTACATTATTTTTTTTTTATAATTAATAATCTCAAAGTAAGATTTAAACTTTTTAATCTCTAAGAAATTAACAGATAAGTTGCTTAGAATCTTCTAAAATTCTCGATTAAATTTATCCATAAAAAACATATTATCTTTTTTTTTTATTATTATTAAAATGTTCAACTGTCACTAAATTATTAATTTGTTAATTTAATTTTTTAATATATTTAGACGCACGAATTTGATAATGCATAAATTAAGTTTTATATGTCAAATAACAGAGTTATAATTATCAACTTTTATTAATTAATTTATAAATATATTTTGTTTATTAAATTTTTTACAATCATGATTTTATAATATTATATAATTCATTTATAACATATGTTATATCCGCTTTAATTTTGAAAAATATATATATATATATATATATATATGGCCTAACACTAATGGCCTAACACTTTCCTATTTCCGCTCTACGCACAACTCCGGCACAACTCCGTGAAACTCGACTTAATGGGTATGAGGCAGTGTCAAACCAAAATTATCTCTCCCTATCTCTCCCGAATGAGGTAAAATGAATTGTCCTAACACATATCTGACCAAGAGTTTGTTCAATGTATATAGCTATAGTAAGAAGAAATCGAGAATACTAAAACTACCAAAAGTTCTTAAGAATTAAATGTTTAAACAAGATTGTACGTAAGTAATCGATACAAAAAATTAAGTCATAATTACGAGTACAACCCGTATGTTGGAAATATTTCAAACTAACAGGATCTCGTGGTCAGAGCGCTCCAACTAGCTAAAACATACAGATGACTCAAGAATATACAATTTTTACCAATTCAGGATGGGTGTGGAAGCAGCAGCCGAAGCCCCACACAGTAACTTTTGTTCCTCTGCTTTCACAGTTCGTACTCATCTACTAATAGCTTTGCCTACATACTCAAATTTTGATCTGCCATTCTTTTTTACCTGCATATGAACGTATTATCGTTCTTCACCTATTGATAATGGAAGCAACAGTAAAATATAATTTTATCCACAATTCATTGCTGATCATATGAGTAGGATCTGGGGATTTATAACCAGAAGTGTGCAACTATAGCAGTCTGTTCCTGCATTAATAAACCATGACATTGTCATTGTTATTTATTTACATGCTAGGTTTTTATAGATATTAGCGTACAGTGCCTATTATCTTGAGCAGTTATACAAATAAGACCAGAGTCGAACCTAACCCTTGAGCCTGAGGGTTGTGTATGTACCCCCATTGGGTAGACAAAGAGTCGTAGTTAAACATACAAAGAAAAGGGATAGTTGTCTTCGAGTAGAGGCTCAACCCGGCTAGCACGCTTAACATTCAACCACCAAGATCCAAAAAAAAAAAGAGAGAGAGAGAGAGGGTTGAAGGCTCGAGCGAGGAAGGGTGGCAAAGGAAACCCATACTAGAATGTGGATATCCAGACTCGAGAAAAGCCATTCCAGGAAGCTTTAGCTAGTCAACTCTATCCCTTCTGCATATCTAGTTTATAAGGGATGCTTGACATCCATTCACTAGCTAGCTTAAGGTGATTAGTCCTCAGTTATAGGCAAGTCTTCAGCCTCAAAGATTTGTCTAAGCACCTATTCCAAGATGAACCTTCTGACTTACCTTGTTAGGTTTGCGTGCTCAACTACTCCTATCTTGCACTCATTGTTTTAGAAGTATACTCGCTCAAGCCTTACTTTAAGTTAAGAATATTTGCTAAATGGTAGTAAAATTCTCTATTTATAATCATCAAATAAATTATAAAAGAAATAAAAAAAACAATAAATGAGAAGAACAATAAATGGATACAATATATTTGCCTATAATAAAAGGTCAAATAAGGTAGGTATGATAAACTATAATAAAAACCTAAATATTTAGAAATTTGCCTGTAATAAAAGGTCAAATATGGTAGCAATGGTAAATCGTAATAGAAGGCTAAATATCTAGATATTTGCCTCTAATAAAATGTTAAATTTGGTAGCTACGATAAACCGTAATGGAAGGCTAAATATATAGATATTTGCTTGTAATAATAGGTCAAATATAGTAGCTACGGTAAACCGTAATAAAAGGTTAAATATATAGATATTTGCCGGTAAGAAAAGGTCAAATATGATAGTTATGGTAAAGCGCATAATGAAAGGCAAAATATCCCTAACATAAGCTATACTCATCATCAATTCCTAGTAATATCCATAATGTTTCTCTACGAACTTCACAACAGATCTATACAAATAGCCCAGAATCAGCCATCTTTTTCTAGTTTTACAAAGGAAATTAATCGCCAAATTTCCAGTGTCATTTGATATATTAAAGACAATTGGTATTACAGAAAACGAAAGAATATCTTACAGAGACCCATTGAAGAATAGATCATAAGACAGTAGAAAATATCAGATATTGACGTATAGTTAATATGTTGAATGAAAAATGATCAAATGTTAAACACCCAATGGTACTAGAAGCAGAATATATCTCCAAACTTGATGATATCAGTTGAATCAATGAAGGCCAAACCAATTCATACAGTTCCCATTTTAGGTAGCTAAAATTTCTGTGTAAAAGAAAGCAAGAAATAAACAAGAATAGCTACTCAAATTGCAACCTCTTCAATTTCTTGAAAAACACAGGACTCCCTAAAACAATTGTTGCGTAATGGCATTCCTAATCACACTTCACATGATTGAGAAAGAGAAAAATGATTGAACGGACTCTAGAACCCTATAATCAAGCACATGGAGAGCATAATTTGCAGAAATCCGAGATGGGAAAATTAGACGATTCAAACAAGCTTTTTGAAACAAACATTCAAACTTCAGAAGTGAAAACAAAACACCAAAATGGAAAACAATCAGAAAATATCCGAGTTAGGATACAAACCAGAGGGTTACGAATTGACGAAATCGAAGAATCTCCGGTCAGCCAATGTGAAAAGGGCCAATATCACCAGTCCTGATGGAGCCCGCGACCTCGTCGGCGATGGCCAAACAAGAAGAAACACAGTCGCTCAAGGCTACCCAAACCATGTTAGCGATCCAAAACGCCATGTGCCATGTCATTGCCATGGCCTTTCCGGTGTGTTATTCGAGGTAAAGGCGTGGACTGGGAGTTTCAGAGCATATCCATTGAAGGAGTTGGATTAGATTTAGAGGAAGCCATTAGAGAACAGAGGCAGAGGTTATTGGGCTGAGTGAAAGATAAAGCTGCAAACTTTATGGTTGAAGAAATGTTACCCGTAGCGTGTAGCTAAAGCCGATTTCACCACAATTTCCTTTTTCAGATTATCTTATTTTACGGGGATTTTTTCTTTTAAAGAAAAAATAAAATTTATAGTAATTGTTCTATAAATGTTCAATTTTTGCCCATATATTTCGATATATTATTCCTTATTCCCGTGCATTTTGATTTTTTGGATTGAAGTGTTACATAATTAACATCAATCAATCTGAAAAATAAAGAAAATATGTGTTGGCATGATATGTTCACTTTGAATATAAACTCTCGTGATTTTGTTTTTTATTTCTCAAAATGTCTCATGTCAATAGAGATGAATTTCTTACTTATAAACTCATGATCAATCCTTTGATTAGTCGATATGGTACTCTCCACCAACGATCTCAAAAGCAAAAATCACATGAAGAACACTACCAATCTTTAAAGCACAAAAGTATCTTCTTTAAACACCTACTTCGATTGCTTCTTCACCATGTCCATTAGTTAAAAAGCACAAAAACAAAGACTCTAAAAATGGATGGACTGTTCCAGTTGCCAAAGCACAAAAGTATGGTTATTGAAATTGATAGAAAAACCTACCGCAGTTGATATTGTCCTCTCAAAGTTTTTAAAATGTCATCTTAAAATTTTTAAATCGCATTTGCTAATGAGAGGTTTCTACACCCTTACAAAGAATGATTCGTTTCCTCAAGGTTTTTGAAACGTGTCTGGTAAGGAGAGATTTCCACACTCTTATAAAAAATTATTTGTTCTCCTCTTCACCTAAGGTGGATCTCACATTTACTTCCCACTATATCCCTTTCTTTAAATAACATAGTTCATAGACTAAAAGAAGACAGACCTGTAGCAAAGGGCACAAGATTTAGCTTAGTTGTTGACGGTGGAGGCAATCTCATCAGTACAAGCCGCTCGCTTCCCTGCTTGTCATTTGCCTGTGAATATGGCAGGGAAGAGATATGGAGATGAAGATAGGAATTGAACCAACCTCTGGGTGTAGCAGCGTTGAAGAACATATGGTTGGCCAAGCAAATTTGCTACCAATTACAGGCTCATGGAATCACAAGATTCAAATCCACTGTTAAATCTTCATATAATGTATGACCAATCTTCTTCATTTTCATATGCAGATCATGAAGTAAAAGATAAATATTTTCAAATTGGCAATGAGAATTGTCGCCCACTACGAACACGTGCACTGCATTACCAACTTCTATCCAACTGCAACCAGGTTGCTTCTTCAATCCCTTATCCTTCATTTTCAACCTTACTTTGGCAGCTTCTCTCCATTTTCCAGTTGAAGCATATATGTTAGATAGCAGCATAAAGGTTCCAGCATTCTCTGGTTCTGTTTCCAAAAGCTTTTCAGCCGTTAACTTACCCAAATCTATATTGCCATGAACATTACATCCAGCAAGAAGCGCTGCCCAAACAGACGATGAAGGCTTATCCTCAAGCCCCTTGATAAAATCAAATGCCTCTTGGAGTCGTCCCGCTCGGCCAAAAAGATCGACCAAGCATGTGAAATGATCTTCTCTTAGCGTTATAGACCCGTCTCTTACGAGATTTTCGAAGTATTTCAACCCCTCATCCACAAGGCCAGCATGACTACAAGCAGAAAGCAACGCGATATAGGTGACATTATCTGGACAAAATCCCAATGCCTGCATTTCATCAAATAAACGAATTGCTTTGTAGCCATGGCCATGATGAGCATAGGCTGCAATCATCCCATTCCAAGAAACTACATCTCTGTGGCTCGTCGATCCATCATCGAATATCTTGCGAGCCATATCCAACTCCCCACATTTTGAATACATGCTTATTAAAGCTGATACTACATCTGCAACTTCTTGGTATACCGACTTACTTATTATCTGGTGAATTTGTTGTCCCTCGCAAAGACCGGCTAAGTTACTACAAGCACCCAATACACTCACAAAAGTTCCTTCATTTGGTTTTACATTGTTGGCTGCTTGCATTTCTGAAAAAATCTTCAATGCTTCTTCACTTTGCCCATCTTGTACATGTCCAGAAATCATTGCTGTCCAAGAAACAACATTTTTGTTAGGCATTTTATAGAACAAATCCACTGCCCTTTCAAGCTTACCGTTTTGAATGAACCCTGTAATCATGGCGTTCCATGAAGGCACATCCCTCTCTGGAATTTTCTCAAACAGTTCAAAGGCTTCATCCAGCCGCATATTCTGAGCATACCCAGTAATTATTGCATTCCAGGAAACCACATTTCGCTCAGGCATTTTATCGAACACTAAACGGGCATCATCAATTCTCCCATTTTTTGCCAAACCAGCCACCATGGCCGTCCAAGAAATCACATCTCTCTCTGGCATCTGGTTAAAGAGCTCCTGAGCTTCATCTACCCTCCTCTTTCTCATCAATGCTGTAATAACAGTATTCCAAGAAACCACATTCCTCTCAGGCATTCTTTTAAACAAATCAAAAGCCTGATCGACCCAACCCTTTCGCGCATACCCTTCAATCATAGTGTTCCACGAAACAACATTCTTAACTGGCATGGCATCAAACAAGCTTCTAGCCTCCTCAATTCGGCTCAATCTTACATATCCACTAACCAATGCTGTCCAAGTAACAACATTCTTTATAGCGTCATCTCTATCAAATAGCTTCTTAGCTTCCTCAATCATTCCACATTTGATATACCCTGTAATTACTGCAGTCCATGAGACCACATCTCGATCGGGCATTTCCTCGAACACCCTACGTGCCTCTCCGATTTTTCCTTCTTTACCAAGCTTTGTGATCAGCCAGTTAGTGCGTGCAACATTCGAATTGGCACTATAGTCTCTATCTTTTGATGAGATTTTGGGCACAACCTGATAGGTAGAAAACAGCGACGATAACCTGGAGTTGTGCGAATTGCTCAAGACACGCACATATCTAGCAAAGCTAGAAAGAAGAATTCTGGATGTATCTTTAGCATAAATTTCCTTAATCAGTACCTGATACAATAAAGACATTTTTATCCACTTATTGCGTATCCCCGCCGCCTAAGGCTCGCCGGAGAAGAAGATTGAAGAAACAACGGGGCGGCTGCATACACCGTGGCTCGTGAAAGACGGAGAAGAAGACAATCATGCTTTCCATTTTTGTTCTCTTTCCATTTTTTCCCCATATTTTCTTTTTCAAAATAAAAATCAATTTATAATTTTTTTTTTTGCAATTTTAATAAAATTTTGAGAATTAAATTAATTTTAAATTGCATCAAAATAATTATAAATTACTAAAAATACTTTAAATTAATTTACTAAAAATTTAGATTTAAAATTGAAAGATGGTTAGTTTGAACTTTTAATTGAAATAGTTATTATAAAAAATTCATTTTATTTTAGTCGTATATAAAATTCAAATTAAATTCCAAAAAATTCAAAATTTTAAGAAATAAAATTGGGATACTTGCTCCCGAAATAAAATTAAAAGAAAAATAAATTATCAAAATATCATATTGTCACTTTCAAAATAAACTCTCATGACTTTGTTTTGAGCTTCTCAAAATGTCTCATATGAATGCAAATGTATTCCTTTACTTATAAATCCAGGAATGATATGTATTCATTTACTTAGAAACTCAGGACCATTCACTAAATTAGACAAGGTGAGACTCAATCTTGATAATCCTCAACAATTAAATATTTATTATATATATATATATATATATATATAATTAAAAAAATATGTCACATTTCTAATGTTTAGACATATATTATCGACCAAAGTAACATTCCAACATTTTCCTCGACAAATTTTGTAATTAAAAAAATTACACATTATTTGAGAGTACAAGTTTAGAAGATTCCAAGCACTTGGTCAATTAAATTGTTTGAGTTGTAAATGGGACAACCAAACAAGACAGCCTTTAATAAATGCTTGAATTCTATTGGCTAATAAAATTTGGTAAACCATAGATATCAAATATTTAATGTGAAAAAAAATTTGATCCATAACTTTGGTACTCATTATAATCAAAAGACAATTACCACATGACCCACATTGATTTGTGGGTGGTTGCCCTAAAGATTCATTATTAAACCCCATTTAATATCTTACATCAAACCCTTTAATATACTAATAATTCATTCCATACTTCTATCCGAGTGGACGGAGTCACATTATAAACTAATGATTCGAAATTGTGAGATATATTTACCAACTAAGGATATTGATAGGTTAGGTTGGATCTGATTGTTCGAGTAAATTTTTTCAACTAAAACAATTCTTATTCAATAATATACCCAAACCAAGTCAACTATAATATTTTTTAGTTCATTTATTTAAAAATTGTATTTATAGAGTTAGTAAACATATTTATTTATTTTCAAACATTGATAACTCATTTTGAAAATTTAAATTTTTGTATTTGTGAAAAATGAATAATAAAAAATAATTATGAATTAACATAAAATAAATATATGCGTATTTAAATGTATCGAAAACAAAAATATATTTTTAAAAATTTAATCATTATATAAAAAGTAAAAAAAGTAATTTTAAAATTATATTAGTTTAAAAATATTCATATAAAATTTTAAATTAGGTATGTTTTATGATTTTTTTTATTAATTTTTTTTTATTGAGAACAAAATATTTAGTCTTCACTTGCCTTTGAAGTTGAATGGAGTGATGGTATCTTGAATTTAGATTCCAAATTTAGAGCAAAAGTAAAATATTAGTTATTAATAAATAAAAAATACCATTTGTGTTGCGATAATAAATAAATAAATAAATAAATAAATAAGAGTGTATTGTAGAAAGTCAAAATGTAGGAATTATTTAATTGGTTGGTTAGCCACAATTATTAATAACATACTCGATTGATGCATTGGATTTGATTTTTTAAAATAAAAAATATATGCGTACAATTGAATTCAGCCGATATATTCCAAAAATACAGACAGGTAACATTTAATTACCTTGGGAATGCACATTTTAACCTTGCTTTCTATTTTTTCATCGCAATAAATTATTTTTT